CGACGCGTTTCAGAAAGGCGGGGCATAGAGGAGAAACAATAATGTACAGTATATGGAAAATAATGTGTTTTTTGAACCTTAAACCGCATAAACACATTTCATTACACCAAATACACAAAATAATGTTCTTTTTTTTAGCAACGTCATATGACCTCTTTAAAATATTTTTTGCATGCAAACCTGTCTGTGAGGAAAGCACAGATGAGGCTTTTTGCATCCTTTGAGATGTCGCTGTCATCGGGGAAGGTCAGGGCATTCTTGTGATTCATGATCTTGCTGTAGGTGCCCACCAGAGAGTCAGCGTAGAACGGCGTGTCACCTAAGGAAACGTTAAACAACACAGACCATTATTCTTCTGAATGCCTCCTCTATTCCTAGCTCTGTGATCTCACCATCTGTCGGGAAAACTCGCATTCAGGAATTTGTCTTTGCCTTTATGCAGTTTTATTTCTGAGAATTTAAAGTGGAGCCAAAACGCTCAATTACTGTGCCAGGAGGTCCCCTCTCGTTGTAGGGATATATGCTCAGAAGTGTAGCTTTTAATAGACAAGAGCACTCTGGGGGTTTGAAATGTGAGGATAAAAAGACAGCACATCACAAAATAATGCCAAGACAACATGATTTTCCAAAGAGTTAGCAACTGGTTTATTGGCAGGTTATTTTAATAAATCGCTCAAGTTACCGGTTTAAGTCAGCCTGATGAATTTTTCACTACATGAACTCACCGAATGAGGAGAAATGCATGTTTCCTTAATAATCACATAGCAGAAAGTGTAAACAATAAAACACAGTGGTGATTTACTGTATGTAAGAAGGAACAGAAAGCGCTCTGTTTGCACTAATACTGAAACTCACCGACGAGCATCTCATACAGGAAGACCCCCACAGACCACCAGTCACACTCTCGGCCATAGTAACCGTCTCCTCCCTGCGACTTCAGTACCTCTGGAGAAATATAGTCTGGAGTTCCTACTGCCGTGTCACATCGTACCATGCCATCCTGTTAGCGGGAAAAACAAAAGAACAGAGTCGAAAGCAGAACTGAAAGAACACTAAATGTGACTGAAGGAATGCTTGTCATTCACAGGATTCAACAGTGCGAGTCTTTCTCACATTTGCAACTAAAAATAGGTGTGAACTGTAAAATGTATTTAAAGGGATAGTTCACCCAAAAATGAAAATTCTGTCATTAATTACTCACCCTCATGTCGTTTCAAACCCGTAAGACCTTCGTTCATCTTCGGAACACAAATTAAGATATTTTTGATGCATTCCGAGAGCTCTCTGACCCTCCCATAGACAGCAAGGATTCTTACACGATCAAGGCTCAGAAACGTAGCAAGGAGATCGTTAAAATAAACCATGTGACATCAGTGATTCAACCGTAATTTTACAAAGCTATGAGAATACTTTTTGTGCACAAAGAAAACAAAATAACGACTTTATTCAACAATTCGTCTCCTCTGCATCACCCTATAGCACCATTTTGGAGAGTATCACATACGTAAACAATGTATGCAATGTATGTACGCAGATGCATTGTTTACATTCAGATCAAAGCATAAACAACGTAAACAGTGTATCTGCGTACATACATTGTTTACGTATGTGATACTCTCCAAAATGGCGCTATAGGGTGACGCAGAGGAGACGAATTGTTGCATAAAGTCGTTATTTTAGTTTTCTTTGCGCACAAAAATTATTCTCGTAGCTTCGTAAAATTACGGTTGAACCACTGATGATGTCACATGGACTATTTTAACGATGTCCTTATGAATCACTGATGTCACATGGATTATTTTAACGATCTCCTTGCGACCTTTCTTTGTGTTGATCGTGGTAATATCCTTGCTGTCTATGAGAGGATCAGAGAGCTCTCAGATATCATCAAAAATATCTTAATTTGTGTTCCGAAGATGAACGAAGGTCTTACAGGTTTGGAACGACATGAGGGTGAGTAATTAATGACAGACAGAATTTTCATTTTTGGGTGTACTATCCCTTTAAGAGCACGCGTGCAAAAAAAAGTAAGAAGTCAAGACAAAAATTATAAAATTTAAAGTCATAAAATATCTTGATTGAATTAGGCATAAACCAAAGGCAAACTGTGCTGCTGTTGCAGTTCTACGGGTTTGCATTTTCAGAGCAGTTCGCCATCAATGAATACTGTGCATTTATGCCAAGCGATTGCTTATGATCTACTGTCCATGAATTATGACAATGCATGTTCATGGTGTTCATTGTATTAGAAAAGCATATACCTTTCAAAATAAGAGTCCCAGTGTATTTCAGATTTGTTTATAATTAAAAGTCCTTTATGAAGCATAAAGGTTTTTTCCTGGTTATTATTGGTATTTTGGTAACAGAATAAACCGTCTCTGGCATTTAATTAAACTGAAATTCCTGTCACAGGAAGGAGAAGATTAAGAACATCATTTTACACATATTATTCAATACATAGATTTTACAAGTATCATCACAGTAATCTACATATAGTTTATACAGTTGAAAATAGGACAATAAATAATGATTTCTGAATGCTATTCTTAATTATTTATTATTATATCATATGAAGAATGTGATTATTGTTACTTCAAATATTTGCACACTGGAAAGTAGACACAACAACATGAATATGGTAGCATTTATTTACATGCCTACAGTTCCCTTATTTGAATGGCAAAATGTGATTAAAATAGAAATTGCACAATTACTATAGTTATCTCAAATAACTGTGATGAAATCAAATAACCACAATCAGATGATTACTGTAAGGTTTCAAATCGCTTACCATGAGCATTATTCCCGTTATTACGTGAAATCTGTACATGTTTGGTTTTTCTTAATGAACAAGAATAATTTTACACATTTTTGTGCCAGATGTCAGTGTCCCGTTCAGTTTTTCTTCCATATCTTACAACAATGTTGCAATTTTAAGACAACGTGTCAAGTTAAAATTGGTTTTACCCTTCTAAAAATGAATCTTGAGACCTCCGCAATCGATTGTGTTTTGTACCTGTACATTTACAGGGCTTGCAAACTTATACAGGGCTTCTTGAGATCAACTGGTCATTCAGACAACCCAGTGACTCTTATGAATTTGTGTAGTTTTGCACACCCCTAGTACCTTGTTCATTTTCATGCAGGTCCCAAAGTCTGCCAGCTTTAAGTGGCCTGCCTTGTCTAGCAACATGTTGTCAGGCTTTACATCCCTGAGACAAATATTAAGCGAAAACACACACACACAGAAACACAAACACATAGGTTATTTTCAACATTTCAAGCAAGTAGGCTCACCAGTAGAAACAATGAAAGGCTTGTTTAATGTATGAATGAGACCTGTGAATGAAGCCCATGGAGTGGATGCAGTCCAGTGCCAGCACAACCTCAGCAGTGTAGAAACGAGCCCCACTTTCCTTGTGGCTTTGTGCCTCACCTACCAAACACAGAGAAAGGGAACATGAACAGGGCTTGTTATTTACTTTACCTTCACTGGACTATGACATTCAAATAAAGTAAACAGTACAGAATATAACAGTCTTAGAACTACTACTGTATTCACACTACGACAGGCAGAGCATAATTTAGTTAAACTGAAACAGAAATAATGATTCCTTCTAAAGAAATATGAAGTACACATATGTGAAAACAGCATTATTTCTCGCATACTTATGGACTAAATGCCCTAATGGATGTTATTTTGTGAAGCCCTGTGATCACAAATAAACATGCATCTTATTGTTCTATTTAAAAAATCAATAACTATCAATCGATTTTGCACTTTGAGTTTGCACTCCCGACAGAAATTAACAAATGACTGTCAACGTAACAGATTTTATGATAAATAGTGGGCAAATATCAAGCAAGAGTCCTAAATCACTGATACACAATGATAAACAGTTTGTCAAGATTAAATAAGAATATCTTGGTAATAACATCCCTTCTCAATACACTCTATATAGCGCTCTTCATGCTAAACAGTGTCACATAGTTTTAGCTATGCATCTATTTAAAAAATGCATATCATAAGTGAAATTAAAACCAGTATGCCGGATAAACAGATAACACCATCCAGCACTAATGTGGTATGTTTATTAAAAAAATATCTGGGAAGTACAGTTAGGGGCTGTTCACACAGAACGTGTTTTTCCATTCATTGCACTACCTTTTCATTGTTTTTCTATGTAGACGCGCTAGACGGATGTGTATGACCATTGTGCTTTTGTCTCGCGTCTTTTGCAGTGTCTCACATGAGTGCCTTGTTTTTAAGACGCCGTGTCAAGTTAAAAGAATTTCAACTTTTACACACAGCGCCACTGTGAGTTAGTTCCAAAACAGTGGCCCAATCAGAAGACCCCGGAGGTAAAAAAAGTTTATACTTTAGTTTAGAGACCAATTCTCACTATTAACTAGGGCTGTCAAAATGGCTGAAAAACTAAATTCGAATTTTGTACTTAAATATCATCAATATTTGAATTATATTCGAATTTAAAATGCATAATTTCAGTTAGGGGGAAAAAAGGTTTTGGATTCTATCCTGAGGCCACAAGAGGGCGCATCGAGCTAAATATTACTAACGCACATTTATTCGAAGTAATAAAATAACACGACTATCTTTGAAATAAGTTGCATAAACAATTAGAAACAAAACAGCATCATGTATGTATGTATAGTAGGGCTGTGCAACTAATCGCATGCGATTGTCATGCGCATCTCGTCAGTAAAGTCAGTTCCGTGATTGGTAGTAAATCACCATCACCTGCTTTCAGATGGAGCGGCACAGCCCTAATGTATAGTTTAATACAAAAGAAATCACAAAGAGTACTTTTTCAATTTAAAAACGTGAGATGCAGTGGGATGGGGAAAAAAACTGACATGTTTTTTTAAAAGTTGAACTTACGTTAATTTTACATGGCTTTCTAAACATGCGACTCTCTTGTGCGAGACGCGAGTGCAACGGTGACAGATGTCCCTATAGAAAATGCGATAAATATGCGTTCTGTGTGAATGGCTTGGTTTCGCATTCTCTTTTTCCGCAATATTTTGAATGAACAAGGTAGCAGCGCCGCATCTAGTGGGTTCAACTGGATAGGCTAAAAAAAGTATTAAAATGCAATGACACCTACATCGTCATCTCATCTCGTGTGCCACTGATAAGGCTGCCTGATGCACACCTAAAATTTGAATGCAACGTTTTTGCATTTGAATGTGGATTTTTATTTTAAATTCTTAAACCCTCTAGAAAATGCGCGAAATATGCGTTCTGTGTAAACGGCTTGGTTTTAGTTTTGACGTAAACAAGATCTTCTCTGCATTGGTTCATATTTTTTAATGAACAACGCAGCAGCACCGCATCTAGTGTGTTCAACTGGATAGGCTAACAAAAATATTATAATGCATTGACTCCTACATTGTCATCGTCATCGCATCTCGTGCGCCGCTGATAAGGCTGCCTGATGCACACCTAAAATTTGAATGCAACGTTTTTGCATTCGAATGTGGATTTTTATTTTAAATTCGGCGAATATTCGAAATTAGATTTTTTTTTTTGACAGCCCTACTATTAACTAGTTGCCTATTAGCATTCGGCTGTGGGGATGAAGACGACAACTCCCATGATTCCACACTCAGTCACTGCTTCATCAAACTACATGTTTTTAAACAAACCTCTTTGTTTATTTTGAATACGCGCCCTCTAGCGGCAAAAAATACATATTGTGCCTTTAACTCAACCCTATACCTAAACTTAACAACTACCTTACTAACTATTAATAAGCAGCAAATTAGGAGGTTTTTAGGATGGTGTGTGTGTGTATATATATATATATTCCAAAAATGGAAGTAACAGCAGCCTAAATGACAATACTCAATACACTTACCAGCTGTACTTCTCCAAATGCCCCTCGTCCTATGACCTTTACCACTTCATAGTCATCTGCTTTCATGCGAAGCTTCCGAATTTTGCTGATTGTGTCCTTATCTAGAAACAAAAAAAACATGCACAATATCACCCTTAGTGTGCTTGGTTTAATAAGTTGCAATTTAGAGAGAGGCTCACGCCTGTAACTAAATGCAGTTGTCAACTGACTGTGTGAACGTAGCCTTAGACAACCTCACTGCGGGAGACACTCGTTTAGATGAATGTGTGTACCACTGAGGGCCCTAAAGGCTTTATCTAACACAGCTCTGCTTCCCGAGGGGACAGATAACATTCAGCCAGATTCGGTCTTCGCTGATCAAGAGAGACTGAACTGAATCTCAGTTATGAGAAATCCCACAGTATTCGCAGAAACATTAGAGAAGGATTTATGGTTATTTGCTATGCTGGACAGTTAGCAAAACATTTCGGGGAAAGAAAACAGTTGTATTTCATGTCATGGAGAACTAGAGTGGTGCCAAGTTGCAAATCAGTCATTTCTCAATATTCTTTAGCATTTTGCTGCTAAATAACTTGCTATTTAAGTATTTGCTCTGAAATGGCAATCAGATGAACATTAATTTCCATAAGCACAAAAACATTGATTCTCAGATGCATCACGGTTCATTTTATAATGATTAGTTAAAGTCTGGTAATGTTGCAGCAAACAGGGCAATTGCACGCTTGCGTAGCTGTGCGTGACTGCATGTGTGCGACTAAATGCATTTGCAAAATTCATGTAAACAGTTGGTTATGGCTTGTAAACAGAGGGGACAAAACATCTTAGGTGTCAAAATAGATTTATGCATGTGAATGAAGCTTTGACCTGCTGCTGTCTAGGAAAAAAATATTGCTTGCTTCTCTTTCTGGAAAACTTTCAGGTACTTAAAACAATCTTAGATACTGAAAACACTATGTTTATTTCTTATGTTTGCTTTCTGTTTTAATGCCCTCACACTTGCAAACTGCAAAGTAAGGAGGAACACATTAAATTACATGCTGTTTAAGAAATATATTGGCATTAAATAATTGTGCTATTCATAATGTAGCTAACTAAGTATACCAAACAAAATCATGGGAATATGATTGTTGATTATGTATGTTCAATATTTTGCTCAGCATTAGTTCCAAAGCATTGACAGCAATATAACATTTACCAGGATTTAACTGTAGCACACAGGCCTATTTTCGGCTGTTTAGACTCCAAGCTTCATACATGGATTTGATCTTCCGAACATATTTGATTTGTCTGTTTACATTCACATGACTCTGATCTGAGATCTGTTTAGACATTAATCTACACCCAAACCAGAATGAAACAATTGGTGATTGTTTTCACTATGGATCATTACATTATGAAGATAGTTGTACAATCACAGTAATATAATAGCAAAAACTGGCCAAAAACTGGCTCTGACATTAACGGTTCTGCTATCAGTACTGGAGAAATTAATAAAACACACATACATTTATTATTGCTATATATACATTATCTTGCAAATTCTATCTCACCAGAGTAGCCAGCTGTTTTTCAAACATTTGTCTATGATGCATTTTTGCTATTCGCAATTCAGAAGCGAGATCGAGCTCGTGCGGAGGAGCTTCAGCACGCGCAACATGAAAGCCCTGTTTAATTATGATAGCTAAACATTCAAACATCTGCTTACACTTTAGGCCTGTGGCTGTTTTATTAAGCTAATTTTATTTTTTTATTTCGATTTTGGCTTCTAAGGATTATACAAAAGAAGACATGAGGTAAAGCTATTAAAAACTAGCTGCGTTTCGTATTGCGCAACTTCTTTCCCTTCACAGCGGTGCGCATTCGTTCCTCCCTAAAACCCAAACTTAACGTCAGAATCAGCTCAATCGGTGATTGTTGTAAGATGCCGTTTTTACTGTTGCTAAATTGTGGGACATGTTTGATAATAAAACTTTGAAAACACAATCCGCACAAGAGACGCTGTTCCTCAGGCTGAAATGTGTGCGCGCGGCACGCTCCAAAACGGACAAACAAATTACACTTTGAGCTTCGGGCGCATGTCCATTCGATCAAATACACACAAAAATGTAAAAATGGCCGGCTTGGAGAGTATTTACTTAAACACAGTTTATGTCTTAAGTGGAGGAGAACAGTTGGGAGAAAATCCGATGTGTGTCAATATATTGTCTTAAAGTGACAGACTGGCGCTTGGGCCATCAAAATGCAAATCTGCTTTTAATCTGAATAACGTTATAGCTTTAATAAGCATTAATCTATCAATACATACACTGAAAACTATGCAGTGTTCATTTACATTTGATTACTTTTAGATTTCTTTTGTAGGCTATTACTTACCTGAACAGTAATGTTAGTAGAACTTCATGGAAAAATGACAGCACTGTTTATTTCATTTCATTTGTGTATTTGTTTTATTGTATTTGTCAGTTTTTTTTTTACTTTGTTTCTTTGTTCATGTTCTTGCTGCATCTTATCTTATGTATAAAACACTAAAAATGCCTGCACACTGGTGCATTTACAAATTGATGTTTTATATTCATTTCATTAAATATTTATTTAACATTTCAGAATATAAAGCAATGTTAATTCAGATCTTAATTTGTCATATATATATATATATATATATAACAAAAAGTACAGATAAGAATACTGTTAAAGTACCGAATCGATAAGCAGTATCGGTAAGAGTAGTAATACCGTTAAAACCTTAACGATACCCATCCCTAACGACGAGTGGTGCATTCTTCTTTTTGTGAGGAACAGAGTGAAACTTAAGGCTTTAATTGCTAAAAACCTTTCCGCTTTGTGAACACTCTCAATGAAAAGATAAATCCGAACTTTAGTATGTCACAATCTGTCACAAGATGAAAGCCATTTGGCATTTAATGCATTTAACAATAGCGTTTATCAGTTTTGGGTCTGTTCCTCACACAAAGCAATTGCTTGGCCTTAGATATTTTTAATTTTTGAATAAATTATTGTGACTGCATGTCTGTTACGTGGTTTATATCGATTAGGTTTAAGAATGGAGTTATTAGACATTCAAAATGTCTAAACAGTGTAATGCAAATATAATTGTGGCTGCTCGAATTGTATGAAAAACATATGCAAAACATACGCTATACTGACAAAATTATACACCACCTTAAAATGTCATGATGACAAAACTGGCTCGAGTCCTAAGAATCCTCCTAATTTATCTATGATATTCTAGATCTCACATGGCTCAGGTCCCTAATTTAGTTCAAGTCTATGGTAAATTTTGCACGTTTTATCACCTGACTTGTCTCTTCTAATAGTAATAGCTCAACTGGCAATGTTGTTCATGTCTAGTGTAGTTATAAGTTACAGTCCAACTTTGGGTGCTGTGTGAAAATCACATAAATCAAACAATGATATGCCTCCATTGAGAGAATATGACGCGAGTCTCCACCATGCAGTGCCAAGCGCCCTTTTGTTAAGTGAATACTTGGAGACAAAATAGTGTCTGACTGAAAGTACTGACCCAAAACCAATCCCCATTCACAGCAAAGCAGCTTGAAACTCTTTAGACTCGCAATTCTGAATGAGCTCCAGACAAAATACTTACATCTATTTAAGAAGTTATCGATGCTTTTGTTTTTCCTCAGGGCTGGAAAATCAAGGTCATAAACCAGAGCATCCAGACTGTCCTGGAAATAAGAAAAAAAAACACAAATATTACTTCAATGAAATGTGAATTTTGTATCTTCTGACCAGTACTTGTACTACATGTCATCATTAGTCATAATTTTTACACACTAGGAAAAAATATTCTTGCATGATCAGCAAAAAAATTCACAATTTCACTGCAACCATCCAAACTAAAATGAAGGAAGTTGCAGTGTTCTCTGTTAAAATCCACTGTAGTTGCTTTCATTTATCTATCCATCTAGAAAATCTGTCACAAAATAGTCATCTGCACAATCATACACTGACCGATTGTTCAAAAACAACATGTGCGAGATCATTTTAAGTTGCAGCCTTGTGCTGAAATGCTGTAAATTATTATTTTTCACAGTCATTAATGCTCCATACCCCATACTGACAAAGCAAAAACAGATCTGTGATCAATTGCCAATGCAAATGTATTAAAAAGAAAGAACTGAAATGTACATGTGAACAGAAAGCCGCCTGTTAGACTGAGTAGGAGAAGCAAACGGACTTCTCTTTCCCGGTTTATCATTGGTTTAGCAATGCGCAAGCCGGCAATGAGTATGTCACTCACTTTGTAAAAAACAAACCAATCATTATTGACTTCACTAACCTGAAGGAATATGTTAAAACAATAAAAAGGCATGTAGCCTGAAGCTGAGAGTTTGACTGAGCACACGGCACACTTGATTTAGAGATCCAGGATTACAGTAGATTAAGATTAAGCCTGTTGATGTCACTTATGCCACTGCTAACCTGGTTCCATCGGTCTGCAGTTTCTTAACTGTGAACAGTTGATGGGCATTTATATACACGACTAGTCAAAAGTCTGGAATAATAATTTTTTTGTTTCTTATTGTTTTTGAAAGAAGCCTTTTTATGGTCACCAAGGCTGCATTTATTTGATCAAAAAGTAAAAACAGTAACACTGTGAAATATTACAATGTAAAATAACTGTTTTCTATTTTAATGGATTTTAAAATGTCACACATTTCTGTGACGTAAAGCTGAAATTTTTCCTTTTTTAGGATACTGTATTTAAAATAATTTTTTTTTTTTACATTTTCATAAACTTTACAGAACTTTATTAGCCAAACCACATGTAACCATGTGTCCACCCAGACATGTTTGAGAAATTGCAAATGACCCTCCTAACCCCACTTTTATTCATTTAGTTTCTCAGATTGTAGGGCTCAATGTTAAAAATTGCAAGTTAAGAATTTTTTTTTTTTTTAAGTAAGAAGAATTCCAGATTTGCTGTGCTTGCTTGTAGGGCTAAGCAATTTGACCAACATTTTGTGATTATATATTAATATGGCTATTAAAATAATAATAATAATAATAATAAATTATTATTATTAAAAAATATATAAAAATGTAAAACAAAAAGCAAAAAACAAATACAAAAATGTATACTATAATAATAATAATAATAGTGGTTTAGATTACATTATTTATGGCTTAATTTCTTCATTTTCAAAGATAAACCTTCACATTTTTATTCTGACAGAAATCCGCAGGAATCTCTTAAAGGGACAGTTCATCCGAAAAGAAAATTCTGTCGTCATTTACTCACCCTCAAGTTGTTTTAAACCCGTAAGACTTACTATCTTCTTTTGAACACAAAAGATGATATTTTGAAGTATGTTGGGAGCCATTGACTTCCATAGTATTTTTTTTCCATACTATGTAAGTCAATAGGTTACCAACATTCTTCAAAATATCATCTTTTGTGTTCACCAGCTGGAAGTCAGTCATACATACAGTATTTGGAACAACTTGATGGTGAGTAAATGATGACAGAATTTTCAGTTTTGGGTAAACTATCCCTTTAAAGCTTCTCTTTTGTTGATAAGTCCTTCTCATTACAAGTATAGGATAGAGTTTGTGTGGAGCAGCATTTACTGTGAACCGAGCTGCAAACACCTCCTCACGTGTAACACCACAGTGTCACGCTTCACTCTGAACCACGCAGCGCATGCATTTCTTTAATTAAATTGCAGCCTTTGTGATTTGATAATCACACTAAGCTAGCGATTAGATCACGTCAGCAGTGTGGTTCATTCTTGAAGCAAAGTTTTGCCTGAATGGTGATTAGATTCACTGTTTTGGATCGCTGCATTTAAACTGAGAATGCATGTACAGAATGACGCGTTCGGTGTATGATATAGAGTAAACAGTAATAGCACGTGCAGCGGCAGCCTCCCCCGGGTCCTAATGCCCGCTCAGTAAGGAGTTTTAATTCCGTAGGGGGGCGCTGTTGGCCTACTTCTAATTAAATGAAAGTAAAATACACAAATAACATTTAGACTGTGTTTGTGATTAAATAAAGCAGTAATTGATGTAATAAAATCATGAGTATGTTTTGATTTAAAGGTCAGAAGCTATAGCTTACACAATTAAAAAAAAATCACAAACATGACACTTGTAAATTAATAATTCTATACATACGGATTTATTCGTTAATGTATAATATGTTCTATGTTCTATTAACAAATTATGATCTCTAAAATATTTTCAGAATTTTTACAACTTTTTTTTGCTTTAGACCATCTACAAATGTTAAATCTTAAAATAAAATGTTAAGGTTAAAAATGCAGCAATTGATAGTTTATTTATAGTTATTTTCAAAGCTTCAATGTACTGTTATTATAAAAGAACTTCATTACTGTTTATTTAATTCTAACAAATATTTTCTCGTTAAAAACTAACCAAAATTAAAAATAGTTAGCTTATAATTTCCACACAGGAGAGACTTGGTGTTGTTTCCAAACAAAGGTAAATAAATCGGTATAGTCATTGGCCAAAATGAGTAAACAAATATCGGCATATCGGCAAAAATCCAATATCGTGTATCCCTATTATTTTTCGTTAGTAATATTATTTTTCTTTTTAAAGGTGCAATGTGTAATATTTACATTGATCTATTGACATAAATGCAAAATAATATACATAACTATGTTTTCAGAGGTGTATAAAGGCCTTACTTAAAGGGGTCCTATTATGCTTTTTCACTTTTTAAATTTTAGTCAGTGTGTAGTGTGTATGTTTGGGCATTAAAAAGATCTAGAAAGTTACAAATCTCAAAGTCCACTCTAAAGGGAGATATTTAGTTTTTTAAAAATCCCTTTTCAAGAACTACAACGAACGGCTCGTTTGGACTACAGCGTTTGGTTTCCGGGCTTTGTGATATCACAAAGCGGCTCATTAGAATTACATTACAAATAATTCCCGCCTACAGAGATTCGAATGGTTGGGGGGTGGGGAGGGGCGAGGCTGTAGTTAGAACGCTTGGTTGAGTGAGTGCATCGGACGAGACGACGAAGAAGAAGTGCTGCTGCAGAGTTAGTGCATCAGAGAAAACGAAGAAGAAGAGCTGCTGTGCTGTAGCGTCGCTAGATGCCGCTAAAATTTACACACTGCACCTTTAAATTCACACTATACATATGAGAAAAAAACTTAAACATTTTAAGTTTGAAAATATAATTGTTCAAATCGATCGTTTTCCCAACTTTCCAAACCCTGTGCGAACTCTGAGATAATAACAAACCTCCCCATTCAGTAACGTATGTTTGCATAACATCCTGCCACAGAGAATTCTGGATGGCCACAGTCGCATTCCGCAGCAGGACTGTACATGTCAGAGCGCTATTTTAAGAATGTAGCCAAACAAGCTCCCAAAAAAGTGGAGGAGAAAACAGCCAAGACCACAGTCAGAAAGTGAACAGGGCCTTATTTCTAATTAACACCCTTCAACAGCGATTGAGACATTACAAAAACAACAACAAAAGGAACAGAAAACAGCAGGTCTGTAAAGAGCACATCAGAGGAAAAGTTTCTAAAAACTGTCCAAAATCCAAGGCCATTATACAGAGAGTAAAAACAAACAGACCCAGTTTCTGTTCTTTTTTTTTTTTACATGTCTCTAGAAGCCTCAGCAATTACAGATTTGACTAGTGCTGTCACAATTACCCAAATACTGAAATTGTAATACAACTGACTCAATTCTTTCCCCAATTGAAAGTGGCTGGTGTCAAAACATCCCATGTGTATGTGTAATCAAGATTACCCAATCTTGAAAAGTGCTGATTACAGCATCATATTTATTTATATTTACTCCCATCGCATCCGTTGCTTACAATACAGCATTCAGCACATGAAGGCAACGGCCACTCAGAAGAGTTTAAATGAGTCAGTCAGCAGAAGAAATCTGCTCAAAACGCTTTTGTTCAGCATGAGCTCACTGATTGAGTTGCACTTTCATGCATCCAGCTTTATAACCAATAAAATGTAGACAGAATGTGAGTAAGAGATCCATTATGTGTAGAGTAAGCTGCATTGATTATAACAGGAGTTTTCGCAAAAGTGCAGAACTCTATGAGCTCACAGCAAAAATACATATTACTGCTTTTTTGAAGTAAAATGATTAAAGGGATAGTCCACCCAAAAATGACAGTTCTGTAATACGCCAGAGCGCGTACACGCCTCACGCACCGGAAGTCGTGCGCGTGCTCAAAGCAGTTGGACATAGTGGTGTTTTAGAGGTAAAAAATTATATAAATACTGTTCGGTTTCTGGCACAAACCGATCGTTTCGTGTGTTAGGACATCAATGTGTCGTCACGAGCCGCAGGGTTTAATTTGGATTTGTCTGTGCATGTTTTTTTTTACACTCATAGACTTTGTTACCATTGCCATGCATTATAAGACTGATGGACTCCAACGGTTGGACTTAAAAATCATCAAATGTGTTCTACTGAAGAAACAAAGTCACCTACATCTTGGATGCCCTGGGGGTAAGCAGATAAACATCACATTTTCATTTTTGGGTGAACTATCCCTTTAACCTGTACCTATTGGTTTATGTTGAGACACATGCGAGAATGCAGTTCATTCACACACAGTTTACTGAACTAATGCAACATAAATCTTCAACATTTTTCTCAACCTAATTGCATTATTTTCAATCAAGTTGAATTGGTAAAAGAAATTATTTTGTA